TAGGTCACACCTGTCTCTGGGAGGGAACACGCCTAGGGAGTGCATGTCCCAGTGAACTCTTCACCCTTCTGCCACGCAGCACAAGGAAATGGGTCACGGCAAAGCTGGGCAGCTCGCTCTTGTTAACTGAGAACAACAAGAATGAGTGGGCTACGACCAGAGGCTCCTGGCAAAGGGCCGGGTCTGGTACAGCTAGAAACCGGGTTCCTCTCTTCAGCAGAGAAAGTAGAAGGCTCAGCAAGTAGACAGTAGACTGCACTTGTCTGTTCTTGGTGTAAGGGGTGAGTACAAATTACAAAAAGTTAATAGAACTGTAGAGTCATTAGCGTTCATGTGTATGGATTGGTGGGTGGTAAGTTCTGCGCCCTGCTTGTTGATGTCGGTGCAGCGGTGATGGGTCTTCATCATGTAGCGTTAAGAGAAGGGGAAAAAAGTTCTTTTTCCCCCCCTTGCAAAGGTTCATCACAGTATTATTTGTAATTTCAGAAATGTGGAACGAAATGTGGAAAATAATGAAATTTTCAAAATAACGTATGGTATGTCTATCCAACAGAATTTTATATATTTAGTAAAAACAATATTTTAAAAGCTAATTTTTTTCTTTATTGATTTGAGAGAGAGGGAGAAAAATTGATCTGTTATTTCACATATTTATGCACTCAGTGGCTGCTGCTTGTAAGTGCCCTGACAGGGGATTGAACCTGCAACCTTGGTGTATCAGGACAGCGCTCTAACCCACTGAACTACCCAGCCAGGGGAAAAGATAACTTAATAAACTAGAAAAACACTCACAATCGAATGCTAAGTAAAAAAAAAAAAATTCAAAATGTATAAAATTTATTCCAATTTTTATACATATGCAAAGAAAACAATGCAAAGGACAATTTTCAAATGTTATCAGCTCCTTCCTGGTAATATCAGAGGTGATTTTACTGTTTCTGTGTATAATTGTATGTGTTTAAAAACTACCATCATAAATGTGTATTACTTGCACGGTTAAACTTCCGATAAGAAGAAAGAATAATAATTGAGCATACTGAGAATTGACGCTGATACTAAGGAGCAGTCTCCAGGAACAGACGGCTGCCCAAAGCCGTGGTGGAATGAATGCCCACTTAGCAAGTTACCCTTGAAGTTCACGGAGAAAGGCACCAGGGGGTCGGAGGTCAAGGTCCCAGGCCAGCAGGAGAAACTCGGGTGGTGGGGCGGCGGCAGGGGAGCCGGCCGGTGCCCCTGCTCCGTGGTAACCGCTCCGGCGGAGACAGCCCCGCGCCTGAGAACACGGGGCAGGAGCGATGGCCCGGCCCCCGGGCCACGGGGATCAGTGCGAGGCTCTCAGGGGCAGGTGACGTCCGACTCGAATCTTGAAGGATGAGTGAAGGGAAAAAAATCAGATGTTCAAGCGGAAGGAACGGATAAGGACACGGAGTCACGTGCGAGCCACAGCTTTTCACGTAAATCTCCTGCTGCTGAAATCGAGGGAGGAACGAAAGCCTGCAGCAAGCCAGCCACTGTGGGGACAGAGAAATGGGGCGCGGGGGGAGGCTGAAGCAGCGGCGGGGGTTTCGGAGCGGGGGGCGTCTTCCAGGTTTCCCTCTTGGACACCAGGTAGGGGGCAGCGTCGTCGGCCTAGCGCCGGCACAGCAAAGGAGGAGCGCGCGCTCCAGAAGCCTCTGAGAAGGTAAAGGATAGAAGGCGTTGCAGCACCGTTGGCTGTTGTTGCTCCACAAGTTTTGGCTGAGTGAGCGCGTACAAACTGGTCGTCGCAGAACGGTTGCGGGGATGTCAAGGACAGAGAGTAGAGTCAGTGACATTCTAATAACTGTGTATGGTGTCGGATGGGTACTAGATTTTTCGGGGCGACCACTGAGTAAGTTATGGACTGTCAAATCACTGGGGCGTACGCCTGGACCTCATGCAATATCGTAGGCCAGCGGTAATGGAAAACTCAAAGCTGACTTCAAAAATGAAGCTGGATTCCATGAGGTGCAGTCGTGGGATCGACTGGGAGTCAGAAAAGGCCCCTTGGCGGGGCTCCGGGAAGGTCTGGGGAGGACGGAGATGGGACAGTCACACTATAGACGGCAACGTTCATCGCAGCCTTACTTTGGGCCAAGGGGCTGCCTTGGCTCCACAAGGCAGCCCGGGGAGCAGGGGCTGTCGAGGGCCAGAGACGTGGCCTGTCGAGCTCGGCTCTGCCTGGGGCCACGCTCTTACAAGGAACGCAAGCTTGTGCACCAAGCTGGGCCTTGACAGGTGAGGGCTGAGCCCACGGGAACGAATGCCGTCGCCCAGAGCCGCTGAGGCAGGAGGGAGACCCGGGGACGGGGACGGAGACCCGAACCCCGGGCCCCCGCCCTGCCAAACGCTGAGGCCTGGGCAGGGTGCAGCCTGACCGCGGGGAGGCCAGGCAGCGTCAGGAGGCGGCGACGGTTGGGCGGTCAGCCGGGTCTCATCACCCGCGCGCCCCAGAAAGGAAAACGGCTGGACGTCCATCAGATTCAGCAATCGCCCCAATCCGGGGCCGTTGGCCGGACGCGGTTCCGCGCTGGTGCGAGGGGCCCGGGTTGCGGCCTGGACGGGGGCCCGGTAGGGGCAACGCGCTTCGCTCTAGTTGTCTTTGCCTTGGTGTCGACTCGGCGTCCAGAAGGGTGAGCCTAGAGAGTTGCACCTCCTGGAGGGAGGGGCCCAGGTTCCAGGACAGAACGGAAATGACTGATGTGGCAAAGTCCTGGTGGGGGTGAGAAGGAACGGTATGCGGGGTACCGGTCGAGGGCTGGGAAGAAGGCAGGCACCTCTTCCACCGTGACGGGACGGAAGGGAAGGAGGTGGCCGGAGTCAGGCGTCGCCTGGTGTCTCTCCTCCTGTCAGCAGTGTCCTCACAGGCCCAAGGTAAAGTCTCCCACGGGAGGGGACACCAGGAGGGGCCCTACCTCAGCTCCGGCTCCGACAAGGGGCTGTGGCAAAGGGGAGGGGGTGCTGTCTAAAGACCTGTCCAGAAGTCTCCACGTAGCTCTCCCGCCCGCAAAGCCCCCAGTTGCCACCAACCGGTGGCCTGCACCCGGGCGGCGGCCTCTGCACAGCTGGGCGGTGGCCTCCTGCAGGGCCTGCGGCTGGAGCGGGGCCCACGCCGCCGCGGCGCACCTGTCCCCAGCAGGTCACCCCAGGCTTTCCTCTGGCTTCTCGGGGCCCCCCAGGTGCAGGCGCTCTGCCGCGGACGGCACATAGCCGTGGGCAGGGCCAGCCTTTCCGATTATCCTCAGAGCTGCTTCATTCAAGGCAAACCCTTGACCTGTGACACCCGAATATAAAATATGCATTAAAAGAGAAAAATAGCAGGGGTCCCGCGTCCTTAGAGCTCGCTGCTCAGTGCGGTAGCTAGAATGTCCGTGCACTGCTTTAGTCCTGTGGGCATAGCTACAACGACAACCACGATTGCCTCAGTTGGATGCAGTTAGAGGTTTTTTTTTTTCTTAAGCTTTCCTAGGAATGCAATTGTGAAACATTTTGTTGCTGGCCTTTGCAGGAGCCACTTCAAGATAAAGAGAACCTGCTCCTTGCAGAGGGGTTTGTTGCCACTCCGCGAATACAGGGCAGAGGATGTGATCAGACGGTGTCTGGCATGGGTCCAGAAGCAATCTGGATTACTTTATAACCAGCTGCCGTAGTATCAAGTCCATTTCTGATCCGTGACTTATTGCTTCATAACTGTCGATTTCAAAGGTTTACCAGGGTGGCACCAAAAAGCTCAGCTATTACTTTCTAGCGCATTCTGAACTGTGTTTCCCCAGTGAACATTTTTGAATACTGAAAAGAACAAATTAAAAATAACAAAATAAGGTAAAAATGTAACTGTAGAGGGAATACTTCAGGTAGGTAGCTGTGAATTTCCTTCCTCCTTAAGTCAGTAGTAATTTATGTACTAGAGGAAGGATGGGACACTTTTCTTCAACTTTCAAACTTCCCAGGGAGAACCTGAAATTTTAAAAGCCAGCAAACAAGCAACAACATATAAAAATGACAAGACAGCTAACTAAACTTTGGTTCTTACTTGGAAGTCTGGTTCTAAGACATTTAAGAAGACATGAGATTTAAGTAATTTTACTGTTTAAATAATTCAGACATTCTCTTGAAATATATCAGATCCTGGCACCAAACTTAAGATGCAACTTAATCACATCGGATGTCACAATCACTTTCTCTAAGGTTCTTCAGACCCTTCCCGAGGGAAACCTGGAGCACAGCAAGACGCCCTGGGGCCTGAGCTCGTGCCGAGGGCACCCAGGCTGCCCCAGGCTTTGGCGCCCAGGAAACCGACAAGTCACCTCCTTGGTGGCTTCTTAAAGGGCCCGCTCATTTCCTCCGTATTCCCTGCAGGAATCGGTTACTTTCAAATGATAAGCCTGCTTTCTGGTATTGGCTAAAATACCTTAAAATTCTTGTATTGTGTTTGACTTCCTCATAATACCTGCTTTTCAAACTGCATACAGATTTGGATGCTTCACCAGACTATGTAAATTTACTTTCTGTGGGCTCGGACAGTCTGACCTTAATATTTACATTATTCTCCTTCTCCAGAATGACTACACGACAGTTATATTTTGACTCTCTATCTAAATTTGGTTGTAGATTGCAGCCAGATAATTATTTTAATGGATGAAACCAGGAAAAAGTAACCTAGAACACAAGAACACTAAACTGGAACTACAACAACAAAAAAACCCGCTCCAAAGTGAGCAGCTGATTTCAAGTGACTTGACTTCAGAAGGAACACGATGCGTTATCCGGGCACCAGCTGAGCCCTTGGTTCACATTTTGGTGCGGTCGTGACGGGGGAGGTTTCCAAACTGAAAAACAAACTATCGAGAAAGAGGAGGGACGCGGCACAGCCCCCTGAGCTCTGAATGAAATCGAAAAAGGGGTGGAAACTCCCTACGCGGGGCGGGCGGTCGCGACCAGGCTGTCAAGTTTAGGCGGGGGCGGGAAGGAGGGACGGCCGCCGGGAGCCAGACGGAGCGCGCCGGCACGACTGGGGCGCGAGACCGCCCGGGAGAGCGCGGCAGGGCAGGCCCGGAGCGGGGAGCGCGGCGGGGCAGGGGCGCCGGGAAGGGCGCGCGGGAGCGGACGGAGCGCAGAGGGTGGCCGCGCGCCCCGGCCCAGCGCGCACGGCGCCCCCATGTCGCGCGGGCGGCGGGTCCCGGGCCCCCAGCCTGAGCCTGAGTCGCCGGGAGTCTGAGCCGCGGGCCACGCGGGAGCGGCGGTGGCCACCCCGCGGGTAGTTATGAAGACGGATCTAAAATGACCAGCAAAGGGAACCCTTTCCCCACGCAGCTCAGGCGGTCCATCAGCGAGCAGTTGCGGGACTCCACGGCCAGAGCCTGGGATCTACTGTGGAGAAACGTCCGGGAGAGACGGCTGGCAGGTCGGTGCCCGCGAGACTCCGGAGCCCGGGGCGGGGGTGCGGGACGCAGCGGGAGGCGCAGCGGTGGTTCCCCGCCGGGCCCCCGGCACTGCCGCCACTTGGGCTCCGGCACGGGCTTCCGAGCCAGGGGTCGGGCCGGGCGCCCCGCGCGCCCCTGGGGGTGGCTAGGCTCCGCCCGGCGCGCGCACTGACAGCCTGGCGGGTGCCGCTCGGGGGCTGGGAGCCGGGCAAGGGTTGCTCGGGCCGGTCTTGGCGCCGGAGGGGCCGCTCCATCTGGGCTGCAGTAGACCAGCCGCCCGGCCGCCGTCCGCCTCAGCCCGTTGAATGAAGGGGTGCCCAGGACCTGGACCGAGCGGCCTCCCCGAGGGCCGCCCCCTCCCAACTTGGCCTCTTCCACGGGGAACACGCCCGCTGCGTGTGTGGGAGGGAGAGGGCCGGCCGCACATCCCCAGCGCTGGGAGACCAGACGTTCCGGGGTGGGATTTGGGGAAAGACAGGTGGGCCGCTGTGGGTGCGAGCAGCTGTCCACACCCCCTGCCCTGCTGTGCCTCCTGCTCTCCTCACTGGGAGGCTACGAAAGAGGGCCTCCCTTTTGGAATCCATTGTCCAGGACGCACGGGAAAGAAGAGGCGATTGTTGGGAGCCAAGGGATCCTTAAAAATCCTTGCTTAGGTCCGACCGCCAGCACGGCCCTGGGGACCCCTCCAAGCCTGAGCTTGGTGGCCTCAGCTCTGGTCCCGCCCCATGGAACTGTCATCGCCTTGGAGGGCCACAGGGGCAGTGAGTGGTCTGAGTCTGCCCAGAGCTCCGGCTGGGCTGGTGCGTGACCACCTCCCACCTGCCCTGGGAAGGGGACCCACTGCACAGGGGAGCGACGGGCGGCTGGGGTTTAGGGCCTCGTTCTGCAGGGCGAGCCGCCAGATGATGTTTCGGGAATTGGGGTGAATGCGGTAGGAAGGGGCTTGCGCTGACCACTAATAGAGTTGGTCAGTGACCACAGGGGCAGAAGAGAGTTCCAGAGAAGAAGGCGTGAACCCTGGGCAGAGGGGAGAGGTGCCAGGAGTGCAAAGGGACACGTGTGTCCCCTGCCCTCGGCTCCTCCCACTTTTCCTTCTTGCAGAGCCGCAGGAGCAGTTGGCTAGGCGCTGCGCCCTCGCAGCCAGCAGCCGGGTCTCCCGGTCGGTGCGGCGAGCCTGGCCGTAGGGGCCTCGAGTCCGTGTCTCCCTGAGCATTGGGTGCTTCTCCACCTCGCTGGTCACCTTAGAAGTAGGGACTACAGACTGCCCAGCCCTGGACGCAGTCAGCGTGAGACGTTCCTTCCACATTTTCTCCCCAGCAGGGCAGCCCCGTTTAGTGAGCACCCAAGAAATAAACAGATTGTTGATCTGGACCCAGAAATAAGTTGCGGTAACCCCGTAGTGTTGACTGTGGGTTTTTGAAGACCCGGATGGGCCCCGCAGGCCCCAGAATGAGGAGCCGCAACTCTGCCTGTGGGTATGCGGAGCCGTGGCGTCTGCGTGCGGGACGGCCTGAGAGAAATGTGTGTGGTCTGGTAAACTTTTGTTGCTTCATACCTCCAGAATGCTTACTGCAGACGTCTCCTTCCTAGCTCCTGTTGCTTAAGTTTGTTAGGTTTGTCCAATCCATGGGTCTCCCGGGGAGGGCTGCCCAGGCCGGGCTTGGTTTCTGTAGACGCCAAGGTCAAAGACGGCTGCAGCCCCGTCTCTACCCAAGGATACCTGGGAAGCAAGAGAGTGTGATGTAAAGGCTCCCAGCCACGAAGGTGCTCCAGGAAGGCTGTTTATTCACAAGAATTTTAGACGTTGCAGTTTTGTGAAGGCAGTAGAGAGAAAGTCTTCATTCTGGGAAATAAACTACAGGTAGAGATGTTAAGATGGTGACTAGATGGAAACTGAGGCTAGAAGCGGCTTCAGAATGGTAAGTGTAAGAAAGTTCCCCCAGAGCTGTGCGATTGTTTTTCGAAATGGCGGTATGAGGTTTTAAGATGTTGAATCGGAATATCAATATCTGCTTACCCATAATCTGCTGACCGCTCCGCGGACAGCAGATGCCAGCCGGTCGTGCCGCGGGGACCCAGCCGCCCTCCGTGCAGCCGCCTCTGCGCTGGGCTCGCCGTGAGCTGGGACGCTCGCCACACAGCCCGGCCAACCCCACGAAGGAGCTTTTAGATGCAAATGGATTTTCTTGGGCTTTCTTGCTAAGGTAGCTGAAATATGGAACTTTGGCCACGGGACATTGAAATACTTAAGTTATTAATGTTGGCATCAATTTGAGGGGAAAGTATTCTCCATTTGTAAAAGTGTTCTTTATACAGTTCAGTTCACACTATCAGAATAACTGACTGTGTGAATGGGCCCCAGAGAGCTCTGCCCCACAGAGGAGAGGAGGCTATTGACTTTTTTATTTTTTTAACTTTTTCTATCAGATAAAAGTTTCGTGCTGGGACTTTTAAATTTCCCTAAAATCGCGTTCTTATTATCCTTAGTCAATAGAACAGCGTCCAAAGCGACTTACGACAAACTTGTGTGTGTTGTCCGGAGGGCTCTGATGGTATTTGGTTCTCCCTTTTGCTTTTCCACCTCCCAGGGAAGGAAATCCTTATTCTCACTCACTCTTACTTCTCTTCATGAAAGGTTGTCTTGTCAAAGAAACAGGGAGATGAGAAGAACTTTTAAAACACATTGTAACCTGTGGATGTGTGTGCTTTGGGGCCATATGTAGGAAGGAGGGGCTTATACATACTTGCAAAGAGCGTTTCTTAACACATGTTGCAGTGGTGCAAACGCTGAAGCCAGTGGAAGGGTGGGATCGGAATGATGCGTGAATTTGTTCATCTCATCACAAAATTATAAAAGGGAGGACTGTTTAACAAAGAACGACTACTGGGAGCTCTCGGGCTTTCCCGTTCTGTAGTGGCTGCCGGGCTGCCGTCATATTGTGGCATTTTTGCCAACGCACGCGTCTTCATTTCCCCAGACGCTAGTCCCCTAGGGCTCCACAAGAGTTCCTCTCATCTCAGTACTGATTGTTGCAATAATGGTGGCAATTGTTGTTTATTCCCTACGTGACAAAGTTAGTCCGTCTTCAAGGCAGGACGCTGATTCAGGTTGTCAGACGTCAGAGGCCATCCGGGCTCACTCTCTGTCCCACCGCGGGCCCCCTCCACTGGCCCCGAGCCCTTTCCCGCACGTTCCCCGCCGCCTGGGTTCGTTTAGACCTGCAGCACCAAGCTGACTGCGCTCACTGCCCTGCCTTTCCTCCTGGAAGCACAGAGGTAACCCGGCACCCAAAATAGCTTGTGCTCTCATCATCCTCTTGGGCTGGACAGTGTGTGGGCTTGTAGAGACTGGGCCAGACAGACAGTCACACCTCCAGCTTGTCAGGGCGCCTGTGCAGCAGGCAGGCCGTGCCCACAGCCACCGACACAAGAAGCCAAGGGCTGGAAGAGTGAGATGCTCTCATGAAGCCTAAATGCAGGCTTCCCCCAGCGGGGCACGTGACAGGTTCCTTTGGCTTCCCTAGGTCCCTAATCAGCCACCACTGGTGACAAGTTTTAGCTTTTACAGCGTCATTAAATTCCCTGGGCAGAAGCACACCTTTTTTAGCTTTTGGTGTTTGTAAGAAGTCTGAACTATTTATCAAATGTTAACGTCTGAGAAAATCCAAATGAGTTTTCTAACACTTTCTGCTCCTTTCTTTTCAAACCCAGCTCTATTTTAATGGAAATGTAATCCATATGTTTGATTTCATTATACTCGTATAACAATGTTTAGGTAGCTTGGGAATTAATCGATGTCCAAGTCTTTTGATCCCTTTTATAGTTGCATTTTAAATAATTTCTCTTAGACACAGGAAGTTATGTTGCTGCCAAGAATAAACCAACACAGCAGTGTTCAACCTTGTTTTAAAATCTCATGGCACACATAAACTAATTACTAAAATTCTCAGGCACACGAAAACATGCTATAGGTTTTGCCAATCTGACAAGAAAAGTAGGTATAGTTTAGATTTATTCACACAGGATGGCTGTTGTTATTATTTTTTTTTTTAATCTAACAATCTAAAGGAAAAGAGGTCAGTCCCCTTACTGCATGTTTTAGAAATTCTTTCGGCAACAAGGGCTGAAAATCATTGAGCTAACTTAAAACACTGAACAGTTTGAGTTTCGTTAGAAACGCTAATTCCACCAAATTTCAGTGAGTTCTCGTTATATTCGAGATGTATCGCAGATCCATTCGTTCTCACAGCCAACAGTTGCGTCCGGTGAGGTGACGCCAACGTGAGACCGGGACCTGAACGCAGCGTGGCCGCGTGAGCAGAGCGAGGGCCCGGCACATCTTCTTACTAAAGTCTAAACGAGTCCCCTGCCGTCAGACGGTGCGGGATGAGGCTGGCTGACCCGTTCCGTGTATTTCCCAGCACTTGCCCTTCTTTCTTACGATCCCTTTACTCTCAAGAGCAGTTGTCCCACTCTGTCAACACTGCTTTTCCCTTAACGTTTCTTGAAATCCATGTAGATGCGCTTTATAGTAACAACAACAAAAAATTCAAGTAAATATGCAGTTAAAACCGGAGCAGAGCAGAGGACTCACATCAGGGCCCTCAGCCGTGGCTGCGCCTCGAATCACCTGTGGCCTTTGAGAAGCGCGGAGGCCTGGCTGCGCGCCAGAGGCTCCGAATCGGCTCAGGCGGCCCGAGGATCAGCATTTTCTGAGTTCTGGAGGCGTTTCAGCGGGAAGGGCGGGTGGAGAGCCGCTGACTCACGTTGGCTGCCGTGCGATAAGGCACCCAAGTCTATGTCTCGTGTGGGGTCGCATTCTAAGCCCCTACGAAAAGGCTTTACTTGAGTGAGGTTGGGATATGCTGGTCATTTTATGGGGACAGCAAAAAAAAAGGCCAGAGCATCTGGAGAATAATGACAGGAGGCGGTGTGGGCAGGTGGTCGGGCCGCAAGGAGCGTGGGCCGGGCCGGGTTCTAG